CTGTCTCTACAAAAAAAAAAAAAAAAAAAAAGCCTGAGCATATAATCTTGCTGTTGGCCAGCTACCAGTCTTATTTGGAATACAAAATATTTGTCATCTAGGAACTGCCTGAATTTACCTTCAATTTTTTAACATGTCGAATATTTCTAGGAATAAAACATTTTTCTGGATCTATTCATTTAATTAACTTAAAAAGTGGAAACAGGGCAAGACTGTGTTGTAGTGGAAAGAGTAGTCAATTTGTAAATTGTAAGACCTGGGTTCTGGATCTGACCCTACTATGTGACTTTGAGCCCATCCAGCCAGTTTGGGACATAGTTTCCTTAGAGAGAGAGATAAATACAGAGAGAGCCCACGTTAGGTCTCTCCTAGTTACTGAAGGCGAGGCTTTGTGAGTCAAGCTTACCAGAGTTCTTTCTTATTGTAATAGTGACCTCTTGTGGTGTATATCCTTAATCAATTTATTTATAGTTTGCAAAGCAAACTGGATGTTTTTGTTCTTTCTAATAATTATATTTCACATTGTTAGGCAAATATGACATATTTTAAAAAGATAAATCTTAGTTGGAAATCAGAGGTTGGTTAAAACAGGCTATAGAACACCAAACTCCATCTTATAAAACAATTGTCTGCGGTTTCTTCTGAAACAGTGTACAACCAGCTCTGGTCATTTACAAAAAGAGAAATGCTTTGGTGTTTGTGCTGAGTGTTCTGTGTATTTCTCTTCCTCCCAGGGACCAGGGGAAGAGGCGCGTCCGGACCTTATCATGCCCCAGCAGCTCAGACGGGAGCAGGCAGCCAACCAAAGCAGGTGAGAAGTCCTCATGGTCCATCAGCGTCTCCATTCCCAGGAGAAACACTGGCGCTGGAGATGTCTGATGCTGATCACTGAAAACTCAGGAACTTTGTCACAGGTCAACATTTATTTTTACAAGTACCTATTATTTCTACAACAATCTTCTTATTCTTGTCATTACCCAGCCCAGATACCTCAAACACCTGTAGGTTATAGTCAATGATTTTAGAGAAACTGTTTTGTAAAAGCATTTGGAAAGTTGTAAAATGACCTTAGCGTAGTTCTTGGGTTAAATGAAACTATGTTAACGATATTAAGACAGTCCTTTGGGACTTGAAACCTTTTAACTGACACGATATATTCCACAGGCTAGAAATGATACAAAATGTATTCATTCAATAGAAACATAAGCAGTTAGAAAAATGAACTAATGTACATTTATAATATTGAGTAAAATGGGTATAAACACAGTATTAGATGAAAAAATTAAGTTACAAAAGCAATGGCATATATTGTTTATAGATACAGATTTATGTACTAAACACATGAAGTGTAATAATAGTAACTCCCAGATTTAGAATGGTGGTCACCCCTAGCAGAGAAGGGAGGAGGGAAAGGATTGGGGGGGAGGCAGGAAGAGGACTTCAGCTGTATCTATAGTATTTTATTTCTTTAAAATAAGAGGAAGGATAAAATACCACCAAATGTTACTATTTGACTAAATTGGTTTGGAGTACACAGGTGTTGGTTACAATCTTCATATTGTTTTGTCCATATGAAATGTTAACGACACCAAACTAACACTGGGCTACAAAATTATCTTCAAACCTAATTTCTTTTCAGTATGAAAATGACTTTTGTGGCCAAGGGGAATTTCTTTAATATTCAGGAAAATCTTCAGATACACTTATTTGTGAGTCAGCATTGTTGCTAAGGATTTGACATTCATGTGCTAAAAATATCAGCCAATCCAAACATTGTGTCAGATTTCTGCGTCTGTAACTCAAAGCTGTGGTTAACAGCTATACCACTGAGACAGCAAAATCTTCAAAAACAGGCTGAAATTTTTGCTCAACTTACCTGATTTCCTGTTGAATAGTAATTTTCATATTTAGCAAGCTGTGAACCTAGAGAAAACTGCTTTCTAAATTACTAGATTGTTGCCCGAGCCTAAGGACAAACTTTTGTGTCTCTTAAAAAGCAATAACGTGAGTCTATGCTTTTGTTTCTAGAGTAACTCAGGGATCGTGTACAGAACGGAGGTAGGAGACGATCTGTAGGGAGGTAAAGAGAGGAAAGCTTGTAGCCAGACACAATTGCACACTCAGGGATTCCTGGGGGAGGGTTGGAAGGAAACCCTTCTATCACAGTGTCTGGCTAACTTCTGTTTTGAAAAGAAACACATCTTAGAAGCATTGAAAAGGGCCTGTGAGAGTTAAGTAAACTGTTCTGGGATTTCTGACTCACCCCTGTAATTCAGTTCTTCCTGGAGGGAACCTGGTATTAGTTTTGTTTGTCCTGAGAAACAGGTTGATCGTCATGGTTTCTCATAGAGCTGCTGTATTAAAGAGCATATTGCATAGGAGGTAAAAAGTGCTGACTTGAACTCGATTGGGCTTAAGCCTGTATTTGTAGAAAATTTAAGTGTGTCATAAATATGTGGTGATTAAATTATTTGTCTGGCTTTTAACTTGACTTGATAAGTGTTAATTTTATTTGGACTTTGAATAGAATAGTTATCTGGGAATATGAGCAACTGTGTTTTTTATACTGCCTGAATATTCATGTTTACTTTTAGAATCCATTTCCAGAATTTATAAAAGTTAAGGCAAACTCAAAAATAATGATCTTAGAAGATCGAGATGGTGGTCTATAAACTTTTTACCTGTATTTCAAAATTCCCAAAGTTTTAGAAGTTAAAATTGTTTTCAGATTTATTTAGTGGCAGTAAGTGACCTGAGATGATGGGAAGCCAATTATACCTTTGTTTTGTTAGGGTGAGTAAGCATTTATATATTCTGCTACAAGGTGTGGCCCCAGAAGACTGTATTGGGATGGTTTGTAATATGCAATGTGTGCCCCATCTTGCCTTTCTAAAATCCATACATTTCTGAATCCCATACCACATCTGGCCCCAAAGGTTTTAGATAAGGGATTGTGAATCTGCTCTGATGGGGACTAACTTCGTCCTAAAGATAAGTCAGCTTAGTATTTCATGGTGAAGCCTTGCTAACAAGTTAAGAGTATCCAAAACCTTGCCATCGAGACTATTTATAGCAGTTATGTTTAATTACAACTCTGTTGGCTACCCCTTTTTATTTACTTTTGCTGCTGAAGTGCTCTTGGATGCCCAGTGCATGTTGAGGCACTATATGACCTTGGGCAGATCACTTAATACCCCCGGGCTTTACTTTCATCATCTGCAAAACAGGGACAGTTTAGGCACCTCCTCATAATGTTCTTATTCAAAAATAAAATACAGGCCTGCTGGATCTAAAATACACGGCCAGTGGCACTGTTATTCCCTGTAGCCTACATCCTGGGGCAGCTTCTACTCTTGATGACTTGATAGTATCACACAGTGGTGAGACACTTCAGAAGCTATTCGTTTGTTTAATCAGGGGATGGAATTCATGTATGTTGTGTATTGCTGGATGCATAGCCCTGGTTTCAGAGCTTTACCAGTATCGTGTTTTTTAATTCTCATAACCTTGAAGGCAAACGTTCTCGTTTCTGTTTTGCTGATGAAGAAACCAAGACTCAAAAAGGATAAGAAACTAGCCCCCAGTCACCCAATGTGTAGTTACAGTGTTGAGATTTAAATTGAGACTTGTCAGCCCCCCAAACCTAGGCTTTTTTGGCCACACCACATGAATTCTTTTGGCATTAGTGCCACTGGGCGACAATGGTGCAGACATTTTATTTTCTATCAAAAAGAAAGTCCTTGTTGGCCTCTCTTCCAGAAAATTTTTCTTTAAACATTAAAAAAAATCCTTATTCTTTATATATATATATATATATGTAATATATATTCTACATTACAAGGAGATAAGTTTAAGTAAAAAAAAAAAAATCTCAAATGCTTTCTTATTCTGATAGTCATCAACATTTATAAAGCTTAATGCTTGATAAAGTGTCCCAATCATATTTTAAAGTTCCGACTATTTACATTATCTTATCCAAGTTTAACTCGGCATGTTTGATTAGACCTGTAGTTCTAATTAGAAATAGTTGGGGTGTAGCACCTGTAGCTCAGCGGCTAGGGCACCAGCCACATACACCACGGCTGGCAGGTTCGAACCCGGCCCAGGCCTCCCAAACAGCAATGACAACTGCAACTAAAAAATAGCCAGGTGTCATTCATGGCAGGCACCTGTAGTCCCAGCTACTTGGGAGGCTGAGGCAAGAGAATCGCTTAAGCCTAACAGTTTGGTTGCTGTGAGCTGTGATGCCATGGCACTCTACCCAGGGCGACATAGTGAGACTGTCTCAAAAAAAAAAAAAAAAGTTGGGCTTGGGGGGCAAAGTATGATTTAATTGTTGACTATGTTGGTGATGAATAGTCCATGTTTCTGACCGTGCTTCATTATAACTCCTTTCTCATGGCTCTTTCTCCTGCTCTGGATTTCTTTTGCAGTCCCAAAAGCCAACTTACAAGAAAAGGATACAGAAATAGAAGTAGATGAAATCTTTTGGAATACAAGGATTGTTCCGCTTTTGTGTGAATTAGAAAAAGGTAAAAAAAAAAAAAAGTTTTTGTTGTAAATCAAAAATATCTGTAGTTACTTATATGTTCTCCATTGCCCTGATATTTTTAGTATATTTTGACTGTTGTTTCTGTAAACATGTTCAAAAACAAATGAAGTCATTTATTTACTCAGGAACATGTGTGTGAGACCATACTTCAAGTGCACCAAGACAGGCAACTTTGAAATTCCCCTTCTAACATAAATTAATTATCATTCCTCTGCCTAAGGAAATGCTGCTTTAACCTCTTTAGGGTGGCTGTTCATGTTCAAGAAAGTAAAAGATGAGAACAGATTTCAGTCTTCTGACACTAAGCCTCATTGGCTGGCATCCTTGATGGGTGTGCCTGTGGTTTCCTCGGCCCATCTGTGTATATGTCCTACTCTCCTGAGGTTGCACACATCTGTCAGGAATGCCATTCCCAGCAAAGGTGACCTGGGGTGTGCGCAGCCTTGCCCTCTGGATAACCCAGAAGTAAAGGCCATGATCGATGGGTTCCTGAAAGGATATAGAAAGCTTGTCAGGAGATGGCCCCACACTTTCTCCCCTTTTGCAACTCTGCAAGGGCTCGAACTTCCTACCACAGCTTCCCAAAGTGCTGAGTTTACAGGCCTGAGCCACTGTGCCTGGCCAAGGATTTCATTTCTCCTCTGGAGCTATAGTCACAGCACTAGGGCAAGCCGAGTGCCTGGCACACAGTGCACAGTACCCCCTCACCAGGGACTACTGATGAGCAGACCAGCGTGGTGGCCACAGAAAGATGCCTTAGGAGAAGCAGGGTAAATGAATTCTCCCAGCAACCACATAGGGAAGTTATACAAAAGACCTCATTCCTAAAAGGTTCAAATGACCTTGCCCCTCCTCTGCTCTTTGTTGGCTAAGCCCTGGTTGTTTGGTCCTGGTCCTGGTATGAGGCATATGGCCACAGGAAATCACCTAAACCCTGTGTGCCACAGTTTCCTTGCCTGTCAGATGAGGGGGGAGGAGAGACTAGATTATCCCCAAAGTCCTTTGCAGTACAAGACCCTAAGAATGTAAATGTGATGACTTTTCTCCTCTAGAGTCACTATTAATAATTTTCACCCTCATATTTGTGTGCTAGGTTAACTTTAGGCCCTTCATTTTAGAAATACGAGGTCAGACAATTAAGTTTGTGAACTCATCATAGAAAAAGGGCTACATCCCTCACTGCTGACTATCACGATGGTCACCTTCAAGGTACTTCCCTGGGAAGTGATGCACCAATGCCAGCACCTAGTCTACCCTTCACAGCAGTTTTGGAACTGTTTTTCTGGAATGGCCATCAGAGCTGTCATCGTATGAGGTCTGACCCTTAAGTTCACAAACTCATCCTAGTGAAAGTGCTACCTACTTCATTGCTGAATATCACTACGGTCACCTTCAAAGTACTCTCCTCGGCCATCTGGTGACTGTAGTGATATTCAGCAATGAGCTTTATAGCATTTTTTTTCCTAGGATGAGTTCAAGAACTCTTGTCTGGCCTCGTATATGCAAAAACTTAGGAGCAGTTTTTCAGCAAAAACTAGTGAGAAGAACAATGAATCTGGTTAAGGGTTAGGAAACATTCAATGGAAAGAAGGAGTCAGTATCACAAAGGCCTATCTTGTAGGAAGTCTTCAGCGTGAGGGATTTTGAGAGGGTGCCGAGGGTCCCAACTACTCCTGACACCAATAAAGAGAATTTATCAGGAGTTGGGGACTTGAGTTCTGGATGACGCTCTCTTCTCAGAAAGCTCACTAGACATTGACGAATAGCATCTCTCTCCTTAGACAACTTTCAGAATGGCAAGTGGTGGTAGGGCTGGATTACTTGACCTCCTGAAGTTCCTTTTTCTAAAGCTTTTCCTTGACATAATTTGAAACTTTCAGACAAGTTGCAAAAATAGTGTAAAAGTGCTGTCTGCTCCTCCCCCGCTCCCGCAGCGCTGACATTCCACGTGTTACCATTCTCGTCCTGGCTCTTGGTCTCGCCCCTTGGCTCTACCCTTGTCCTATGCACCAAACGCTGTTGTTGTTTTTCTTTCTTGAAACTTTGAGAACAAGTTGCCAACCTGATATTCCATATCCCTAAGTACTTTGGGATGTGTTTTTAGAAGCAGGAAATGCTATGTAACTCTGACTCAGATATTGCCAATTATTCCAATAATTTTCCTCAATAGAAAAAATGTTGTGATCATTTGTCATACCTCTTTCACAATTTTGACATATTTAAGGAATACTCTATAGATTGTTTCACAAATGGGGTTCCTCTGGTGTTTCGCATGAGAAGACACAGCTTGGCGTTTGGGGCAGGTGCTTTGCATAAGTGATGCTGTATCCTCCCTAGTGCCTATGCCAGGAGGTAGCCGATGCTGATTGGTTCTGTTGCTGGTGACATGAACTTCGATCACCTGGGTAAGGTGGTGTCTGGCAGCTCAATCCACTGTAAAGTTACTGTTTGGTTTTCTTGTAATTAATAAGGATCTCCATAGGAGAAGTTACTCTGAGATTATGCTGATCTAGTTTTCATGTAACTTTTACCACTAGTTTTAGCCTCTTGAATCTTGATAGCTCTTAGATTCAAGTTATCTTTGGAGACTATGCAGCATTTACAATAAACTAGTTGGCATTAAGGGTTAATTTGATCAATAGTTTGACATTTGACCTTTGAGTTTCTCTTTCTTAACTGTTTTTAAAGCTAAAACAACCATTCTTGAGTAGAACTCCCCAGTGTGTGGAGGGAAGAAATAGAAAAATACCTGGAGGACCACCCACTGCCAGTCAGTGGCCCCGGGCCTGGACTTAGGGTTTGTAAAGAAACTGCCAGTCACAGAAGAATAAACCAACAAAACAAAAGCATTTCACACAATAGAGTTGTGATTTTTCCCTTTATTGAAAGTTAGTCTAAGTCATTTCCCATCAATTCATTTATGTAAGTACATAACTGAAAGACATTGAAGGTTACTTGGCTATTGAGGTTTTAAATTTTTTCTTAGATGTTATTGTTGAAAAGAACTAAAAATGGCCTGAGTCATTTCCTCCTGCAGGCGCACACTTCCTCTTTGTGGGGTTCTAAGAGCACATTATGGTATTTATTTAAGATTGGTTTCCTACTTTTAAATTTCACGGTGGAATCTATCAGAGATAGTATTTTTCAACAGAATCCCTCATACCTGTGTGCTTTTCTTGCCCTCGCACTCCATTCTGTGGGCTGTGTTTTTTCCTGCGTGCTGGTTAGTATGGCTGCTCCTTCCAAATGTGACTTTCCTTAGACTCATACTTACAAAATAACATGTTCTGGGTCTCCCCGTGTCCTCACTAAGATCATCTTCTTATTCTCCTCTTTCCTCATAACTGCTTCCAGATAATGATGGATTTGGTGATATTCTGAGCTTTTGCTCTATGAAAGCCCTCTTTTTTTCAGATGATGAGAAAATGGAAAAATATTGATCATTGTTTTTGTCAACAAATACATTAGAAAATGAATATGTATTAAATTATGTTGTAGGTTGTCTGCACAGTATTCTCTCTGTTCCATGTGCTGTTGATACAAAGATATATAAGACATGGTTTCTGCTCTCTTAGGGTGACACCTATTTGAGATCCCTGGGCATAAACACAACACACAAATATGTAAGTGGAAAATAAATACTCATAGCAGCACAAGGAAACATTTGTTGAATATGGAATGGAGGGGCTTGAACATAAACAGACCTTGAAGGACCAAACCCGGTAGGAACGAGGGCAAGGAGAACATTCTAGCCCCGTGGAGTTATGCCAAAACAGATTGAAGGGGAAGATCCAAGTGGTGTGTTTCTGTGCAACTGAACAGGGCGCAGGTGGAGGTGGCGGGCATTTAGAATAAAGGAGACCAACTGAAATGGGTGGCAGTTCCACTCTTTAATCCACTCTTTGAAAGACTGTGTATTCTAGATAAGCTAACCAACTGGTATGTGAATAAGTCAACACGCTAAGAGACCGATCAAAGAGATGAAAAAAAAAATCAGGTAGATGGAAGTGATAAGAGAAGGGAAAAATATGGCGTAGGAAATTGAATACAGCCAAGGAAATAACTGCAGGGTTTTTACTGACATTGCCTGTATTTGACACACTTAAAAACTTGACCTTGATTAGTAAGTATGGCTTTACTTTCTTTGCTCTGACAGAAGAAAACATTGAAACGGTTTGTGCTGCTTGCACACAACTTCACCACGCTTTAGAGGAAGGAAACATGCTTGGAAATAAATTTAAGAGAAGAAGTAATCTCCTGAAGACCTTATATAAACTAGTTGATGTTGGTTCAGACCCGCTCAGCCTTAAACTTGCAAAAATTATTCTAGCAGTAAGTTTTTCTTTCCTTTGGTCTAGTAGAGTATAGCACACAAAAGCTTTGTCGATTGCTTTATTTGTAAATATGACAAAGAGGATGAGAAATGCAGTCTGTTTGTTAGAATCCTGAAAAAACTTAAGGTGATAAACTGGCATCCCAGAATTTGACGAGACAGTATTATCTAAGTGACTAAGGCTGAGTACACAGAAAATGTTCAAATAAACTTACCTTTTAGACTATTACTAGGTTAAGAAAAAGAAGAAGAAAAGAAAAATAGAAAGAGAAAGAAAAAAGTAGCAATAGGCAAATATATTCGAAACAGTTGCTCCAGTAACTTAACTGGAGATCAGTATCATGCTGTGGTTTCTGCCCTATGGTTTCTGCTGGGTGTTTGATTGTCTGATGATTTAATAAGTAACTTGAAGTAGTTTGGGCCACAGATACAAGGGCTTGGGGCTTTAGGAACCAGCTCAAGACAGACAAACAGCTGCATACAGTTATATAAAGAGAGCTTGGCGGTCACAGAAGGTGTTAAAAGAAAAGGGCGACATCAAACAAAAGCCTGTAGAAACTCTGTCTAGAGTAAAATTATATCATTGTTTGAGGGGGGCACTTTATCGTCACAGCCATAAACAGTTTGAACCAAAAGATAAGCCACAATAACTACAAAAAGTTCTAAGAGAGCTGCTAAGACAAATGAATGAAGCTTTGTTTACCTGGTTTCATAAAAGTAAACGCTTTATGTTAACACGCCGTAACTTAGAGAATTTGAAATCTCTCAGCACCCAGTGAAGCTAAGGGTTGGTATACTTCCTAATAGGTTAGTAAGACTGTCTACCATTTCTTATTTTGATAATGAGGTCTCCCACAAAGCAGAATATTCTGACCATGTATTCCCCGCATCTGTATTGAGGAGAGGCCGTATTCTTATTTAGCTGTCATCTTAAACTATTAACTCTCTTTTTAAAAACCATGGTATGTGATGCAGAAAGCAACATTTCTTTGAAGTAGTGATTTCACTCTATTTAACCCCAGGGTTTTGCTGGTGTAGCAGCAACCCAAGGGTTACCTTTGCTATTTTAATCTAGATCCTAGACATTTTGTTCCGTACCAAGCCAAAAAAAGAAAGAAAGAAGCGGGGAGGGGAGGGGAGAAAGTGAGTTCATTAATGCTTTGCAGAGAACATAACAAGAGCTAGTCAGAAAGTATCCAGCCATATAATGTGAAAAATAGAGGCAAACATGGCTGGATATTTTCCAAACAGCTCTCGTATTTTGGTTATTAATGGTGTCATTCAAATTGATTATATACATGCCACAGTTTAACTGTTTTTAGGGCAAAAGGCTAAGTGATTTGCCTGACAGTAAACACATTCTGAACCCAAAGCATATGATTAGATAAAGCCCTCTCTGTGACCTTGACTGGATTGCTGAACCAGGGTCAGGAATCTAGGCTGAACTCCAGAGTGCAGGGCTGGGTGGGTTTGCCTTCTGACCCACTGCAGAACCAGGAGGTCAGAAGGAAGCTTCACGTCCAACTTCCCATCTACTGCCTGAATCACTTATAACATTCCAGGTAAAATCATGTTTAGCTTAGGCCTTGGTGATGGAGTTCTGTGTAAATGTTTTTTTTTTCCTTTTCTTTTCTTCTTTTTTTGAGACAGAGTCTTGTTCTGTCACCCCAGCTAGAGTACAGTATGTCATCATAGCTCACTTTAATCTCAAATTCCTGGACTCAAGTGATCCCCCAGCCTCAGCCTCCAGAGTAGCTGAGACTATAGGTGCAGACCACCACATCTGGCTAATTTTTTCTATTTTTAGTAAAACTGAGGTCTCATTCTTGCTCAGGCTGGTCTCAAACTCCTGACCTTAAGTGATCCTCCTGCCTTAACCTCCCAGAGTGCTAGGATTACAGACATGAGCCACTACATCCAGAATCTATATAAATTTTTGAAAGACCACATCATTAGAACTGTTGAAGAATTAAAATAAATGAAAATTAAAGATATATTGGACTAAGAAGTTTTTCACAACTTTTTTCTGCCAATATTTATTTCATCTGTTTGATATTGCAGTTCAGACATTTAAAATTATTTATAGTTGAAACATTCAGTAAGCATAATGTTAGTTGTTTTGACTTCTTGAATTATTTTGTTAAATAGACGTTTGCGAAGCAATCATCTTAATTTTAATCTTTGTATCAAAAACTCTTACAAAAATATATCAGTCTATATTAAGATTTTTTTTAAAAGTATAAACATATGTACAGTATGAATGTGACTGTATTCAGGAGGGAGAAAAATCTAGCATCCTATGTGCAGGGGGAAAAAGGGGCAAGAAATACCAGTGTGTCAACTATGATTATTTATAGTGGTAGCATTTTGAGTAATTTTTAAACTTGTCTTATTTTGATTTGCCATATTTGCTTTAAATAGAATAGACTATTTTTGGCCGGGAGCGGTGGCTCACGCCTGTAATCCTAGCACTCTGAGAGGCCCAGCAGGGTGGATTGCCTGAGCACACAGACTTGAGACCAGCCAGCCAGGGCCAAAGCGAGACCTTGTCTCTAAAAATAGGTGGGGGATGTGACAGGTGCCTCTTGTCCCAGCTACTTTGGAGGCTGAGGCAAGAGAATAGCTTAAGCCCAACAGTTTGAGGTTGCTGTGAGCTGTGACGTTACAGCCCTCTACCGAGGGCGACAAAGTAAGAATCTGTCTCAGAAAAAAGAATCAACTACTTTTAACATAAGAAGAAAACTACCCTACCTTAGAACTGGGGACACTGGGAATACAAGTAGATAAAATATCCCCTGGTCTGGCTGCCCCAAGGAAGGTGGCCAAACAGGCAGTACATATAAGAGGAGGTGCCAGATCCTGTGGGAAGCAAATAAGGCAGAGTAAAGGGAGCAGAGAGTGGTGGGGAAACTGTTTTCCCAAGGTAGTCTGCTTCCCATGCTCAGGATGCAGTATCTCAATATCTTTTCATGTCTTAAAGTCCTAATTGTATAGTTATCAATGGAGAAGTTACAGGAACTTGCTTTGAATGTAAACTGACCCATACCAGGCCTGGAATTGTGGTTGTCTTTTTTTGTTGTTGTTTTGCTGGAAACTTTGATGCCAAGTTTTTTTTCTTTGCAACTTTTTACTAAAACTGAAACACTTGGTGGCTAGGAAGTGAGCTGTACTCACTTGTTTATTCAACAAGGTTTATTACATATGGAAGACATCCCACATGCAGAAAGAGTAATAGACAATGGTTTTTTTTGTTGTTGTTGTTTGTTTGTTTGCAGTTTTTGGCCAAGGCTGGGTTTGAACCCACCACCTCCAGTATATGGAGTCAGCGCCCTACTCCTTTGAGCCACAGGCACTGCCCTAGACAGTGGTTTTGACCACAAGGACTCACAATCTAGTGAAAGAGTCAAATACAGAAGATGCTAAAAACATGTCTGCACATTTTAAGAGCTGTTATCTATGTACACTTTTCAAAGTTGAATTGGAGATACTGATCAGGTGTACGTAGACGTGACTATGCAAATCCATTTTACCTGTAACTTGCACACTTCCTGGGAATGATCTGTTTTAATTCTAACGATATTCCCCAATATTAAGAACAATATGTATTTCCATTGATAAAGAAATGTTTTTCTGTTTTCTTAGCCTATTTTGGGGGGTTTCAAACTATATTTTTTAAATTTTATTTTGAGACACAGTCTCACTCTGTCACCCTGGATTAGAGTGCTGCGGCATACCTCACAGCAAACTCCAGCTACTGGGCTCAAGAGTTCTTCTTGCCCTAGCCTCCCAAGTAGCTGGGACTTTAGGTGCCCATCGTAACGCCTGGCTAGTTTTTCTATTTTTAGTAGAGAAGGGGTCTCACTCCTGCTTGGCTGGTCTTGAACTCCTTAGCTCAAACAATCTACCACCTTGGCCTCCCAAAGTGCTAGGATTACAGATTTTACTTTTTTAAAACAATATTATTTTATTTATTTATTTGAGACAGAGTCTCACTATGTCACCTTTGGTTGAGTGCTATGGCGTCACAGCTCACAGCAACCTCAGACCCTTGAGCTTAAGAGATTCTTTTGCCTCAGCCTCCCCAGTAGCTGGGACTACAGGTGCCCGCCACAATGCCCGGCTATTTTTTTTGTTGCAGTTGTCATTGTTGTTTAGCTGGCCCAGGGCCAGATTTGAAGCTGCCAGCCTGGGTGGATGTGCCCAGCGCCCTACGTACTGAGCTATGGGTGCCACCCCAAACAATATTATTTTAAACACCTAATAATTTAAAAAAGTTTCTTTAAGTGTCGACTTCCTGTTTTCCTCCTGAGAACAGAAGGAGTCTCCAGTCTGTTATAGTTTTTGAGGCTTCTGTAACAATGCGTCTCAGACTTCAGTGTGCTCGTGAAATTTGGGGATCTTATTAAAATGTGGATTCTGATTCAGTAGGGCTGAATGGGGCCTGAGATTCTGCATTCCTCATGCATGCCCAGGTGATGGTTCTGTGACCTGTCTGAGGCAGACACTCCTCAACTGCAAAATGGGACTGACAGCGCCTGCTTTGCAGGGTTTGCAGAACGGCCAGACGGAAGCCCCAGAGTGGGCAGTGCTGCCCTCGTGCCCTCCACCTGGGGCTGACCTGTCCCTTTTGGTGCCTCCTACTGTGAACAGCACACTGCCGCATACACAGTAGGTGCTCTGGAAATATCGGTGGATCTTTAACAAATATGATGACCAGAACGCATCTTTAACAAATATGTCTGACAAGTTCCATTATCTTTTTTAAAACTGAAAACTCATTAGTAATATAAGAATTCTTAAAGATAACTTCAAAGATAGTTTTTAAGAATAAAGTAATGATCTATATGCCATCCTTTCACACTGAAATTTTGGTTTGTTCAGATGACCTAATTTCTAGGTCCATATTTTTACAGTGTTGCAATGAGTGTTTTACATTCCATGTAAACATGGTGTTCACAGTTATACTGTTTTTATGACAGCTAAATATGAATAGTTTGTTGTCCCACAATTTATAAGATCATCCTCTAATACCAGATAGTTAGGAAGTTTTTATTTTTTACTAGACTAGATAAATATGAAACTAATTAGACCATTTGATTTATTTAGTTTTTTTATACTGTGGTTTTTATTTTTATAAAAAGTATACTTCCCATTGCCCTGTATTTAATTTACTAGTTTTTTTATGATTTAGAAGGTAATTTTTGACTAGGAACATAACTTATGATTATCCCAAGGGATTCCAGAAATAGTCTTAAAAATAAATATAATATATATGTATTATGTAATTAAATAGTATTAGTTTTTGATTTTCTGTTATACAAATGATAAAGAAAACAATACTTTCCACTTTTTTTTCTTGCTTCTCCTCCATTATATATTCTTTTCTAAATTAGTTTACTCTGAAATTTTTGGGTATTTATCTTTCTTTACTTTTGTGTTTTAAAGCAATTATTCCATAATTAAATTTATTAACATTGGGACTAGGCCTCCTTTGTTTCTCATCTACTCTTTTCAAAGTAATTAATAATCTCACATTTAAATATGAGACTTAAATAAGTGCTTGTCATTAAAATGTTCTTCCTCTAAAAATTGTTTTATTGTATTTACTATAAGTGAGTTAATTAAATACTATAGTTAGCAAATATGTGCCCTAAATTTTTCTAAGTTGATTTCTTTAGAACTTTCCTTTATGTTAAAAAATACTCTTGCTGCACTTTTAAAATAGATGTTTGTGTTTTTAAAAATATGGCATGTCTTTATTTTCCTCTACAATAGAAAAATGTTTTCTTTCTCTGTAGCTTAAAGTGAGTAGAAAGAATCTTCTTAATGTCTGCAAACTTATATTTAAAATTAGCCGGAGTGAGAAGAATGATTCTTTAATTCAAAACGACAGCATTCTGGGTGAGTGTCATTCAGTGCTACCATTGAGGAAATGTTGTACTTGAGTACAGATGAGAAAGTTGGAGAGAAAAGGGATACTTCACAATGGTGGGGAAATTCTACGTTCTACTAAAATGCAGAGTTATGGGATGTTCTGTCCTTCTCTGTGATTTCATTTTAATGCATCCTTTGATAGTTTGCCTTTTTTTGCCTAAATGCACGTAGTAACATTATATGATTTTACAAATTGTTCTCTATTTAAAATTTCATTTCCTGGATTTGGATTTACTTTTAAAAAATGCACTTAATAATACCTGACATAACTGAAATGTTTAGTCTTTGAATATAATAGAAATGACTAGAAATTGAAAGACATCTATGACTGATAAGCCTGATCAAAATATTTCAAATATGTGAGTAGAGACATTCTAACTATCTTGCTAATCTAGCTAATGATGCCTAATTCTTTCTTCTTGATTTTTTTTTTCTCATGAGCCATTTGGAAAAGACTAATCCTTGACATACCCCTAAATAATTAAATGCTTAAATAGTTACCTAAATGGGAATCTTGAATGAATTAATATTGCTGATATAAGAGAAGGCAGCAACATGGACTTTAAGTTCTCTCTGACTCTCTTACTTTTTTTTCTTTAACCGCAGCAGACAGGGTTAAAATAGGGCTGAAAGAAATGTCTCACTTTGAATCAACTAATTAAGAATTGTAGACTGAAAACAAAGATCTTGACAAATGATTACATTTTTTGAGACACAGTCTCACTCTGTTGCCCCAGGCTAGAATGCAGTGGAGTCCTAGCTCACACAACCTCAAACTCCTGGGTTCAATCTATCCTCTTGCCTCAGCTTCCCAAGTACCTGGGACTATAGGTGCCCCATAACACCCAGTTAGTTTTTCTATTTTTAGTAGAGACAGGGTCTCGCTCTCTTGCTCAGGCTGGTCTCAAACTCCTAAGCTCAAGCAATTCATCCATCTCAGCTTCCCAAAGTGCTGAGATTACAGGTGTGAGCCATCAAGCTCAGGGGACAAATGATTACATTGACATACATAAAATTAAATGTGAGATAGTCATTATTAGCCTTATTGGAGTTGCCTGGATTACTCTTAAGACCTAGTAGTTGTATATTATTTGGATGTTCTGAAGTTATCTTGGGAAAAGATGGATGTTATTCAAATTATCTTTTTTAACAGTGATTGAGATTTTTTAAAAGCTCTTATTTGGATTAATTTCCCATTAATACAACAAAAATATATTCTTAAAGGTTTATGAAATTTAACTCTTAATTTCCTTTATTATTATATAATAACTCAAAATTTTTATACCTAAAAATAAAGGCTGATCAATATCAGTAAGAGGCAAGGAATGGCATTAGTTAAAAGAATACTTTATCATTTATATTTGCTGACATTACTATTACAGAGATTTGTCTTAGCTAAAAGTAAGCTTTTTTCTTTATACCATATGAGTAACCCTTACCAAGCATTTGAACATAGGTTTTGAGGAATATATTTTACAAATTGTGTTTTATGTTCACATACAAGTGCTTTAATATATTTCTCTCCTGATGTTATATATTTATAATCACCTTTTCCACAGAACCATTATTGGAAGTACTGAGCTGTGAAGACCTACAAACTAACACTGAAGCTTTTCTGTATTGTATGGGGGCAATCAAATTCATTTCTGCCAATCCAGGATTTCTTAGTGAAATAATCAACAAAGGTGCTGTGGAAATACTGATGAATTTGATAAAGCAAATCAGTGAGAACACCAAGAAATGTGGTACATGTTCACCTGACTTGGGCCACTTGTTAGTTCAGGTAAGTGTCTTACTTGAAAAGGATAGATGTGTGGCTCGGCGCCTGTGGCTCAAGCGGCTAAGGCGCCAGCCACATACACCTAAGGTGGCGGGTTCGAATCCCCAGCCTGGGCCCGCCAAACAACAATGATGGCTGCAACCAAAAAATGGCCGGGGGTTGTGGTGGGCGCCTGTGGTCCCAGCTACTTGGCAGGTGGAGGCAGGAGACTCGCTTGAGCCCAGGAGTTGGAGGTTGCTGTGAGCTGTGATGTCATGGCACTCTACCCAGGTGGATAGCTTGAGGCTCTGTCTCAAAAAAAAAGAAAAGAAAAGAAAAGAAAAGGATAGATGTGTAAAAATAGTTTTCATGTTACTTAACGTCAGTTGCCATCTAAAAGAATGGGGCTATGAGAGGCCCCTACAGTTGGGGGAGGGAGCTCGGCCTCAGGGATCAAGAGTGGTCACTGCCCTGTGAGTGCTATGTGACCATTGCCCTGGAGCAGCTATTCTATGAATTTTCACAGAGCAGCTTTCCACACAGTGTACAGATGTTCATTTCTACTGCCCTGCAGAGAAAGCAGGCCTGGAAAGGTGAAAAAAATTAACAGATGTCTGCAAAACAATTACACGTTATCATCAGAATTTTAACAGGCAGTTTAGAGTTTTGAAGACAGTCCCAGCCTGATGATTGTTTATGATGATTGATAGCCAGTGCTGTGACTCTTGTAGCTGCAGTGACATTGAGTGGATAGTCATTGAAGGGGGTGTGTAGATGACATGCAGCCCCAAGACTACAGGCATACAGGTAACAAAACTGGATACATTTCACAAGACCAGAGCAGGAAGACAAATTGTGTTATGTGTTAAGAGTTATATTACTTCTAATTGTGTTATGTGCTAAGAGTTTTATTACTTCTTTAGTGGTAGATTAAATTTTATAGTTGAATTATTTTCATTAGAGCTTCTCCAGCTCTCACATTCTTTTTTAGATGAGGTATTACTCTTTAATAGCCTTTGTATATCAAATAATGGCATCTTTGATATAATAATTCATGAGATTTGAAATGGGCTTGTCAATTAATGAGGATTTACTGAGCATTCAGAGTACTCTAAGCCATTGGAAAAGTGTGTTAAAAATTAGATTTAGGCCCTGCCTTTTAGATTCTTAAAACATTTGTGATGATTATTAACTTTGAACTTTGTGCTCTATCTCCCTTTTGAAGAAGATTGTGAAAACCTCTTTTAGTCATGACCAATGTGAAATCCTACTGACATGTTATGTTTTGGGAAGACTTAAGAACATTATTTTTATGCTGCGAGTGTTATTGAATCATTCAGATTTTTCCGTCAGTAAAAAATGGTTATTTCTAATTATTGAATGATTATCTCTCCTGTTAAAATGCAGGAGATTATAAGGAAGAGCATAAAAATCACTTGAAATATTTTACCCACAAGGTAACGCACTAACACATCTCCATTTTGGTAATTATTTATAAACATATATGTCATTTCACATAAGATTTTGCTTTTATCATGGAATCTGTTATTTTTAACAGTCACTTTCGTTTGTTTTCCATCACCCTCACTCTTCCCTATTTATCCCTCTAGTTGATCCAGTCGTCAATGTCAGTCAGCTGAAACCTTTTAATATACACGTTTTCAAAAATGAGAAATTTTAGGTATGTCTCTTGCCCCATGTAACAATACATAGTAAAAACTTCTTGAGACAACTCTATAGATTTGTTTTATTTGAAATGATTCTATAATATTCTGAGATTAAGATATACCTCAAATTCTCAACCATTCTTATATTGAGATATTCACTCAATATCTATGCAATAGCTTTTGGGATTCTTGTCTAGTTAAAAAATCTTTCCAGATGTGTTTGTGTGCGTATGTACACATTTCTTCTTGTCTAGTTAAAAACTCTTTTCAAGTGTGTGTGTGTGTGTGTATATATACATTTACACTTATGTAAATATGTGTATGTATATACACACATACACACATTTGGAAAGATATATAGAGAGAGAGGTTTGTTTACATCAGCTATATCACTATGTGTTTATATATGTATATACATATAAAATCCCTTGGTATAAAGGATTGTTGAGCATTGAGTGTTATTGTAACCAACAACACTTCTGTGCTCCTCTTTCCCTTTTCCCTGGATTCCGCATCCTCAGGTAGAAACTGACTCACAGGGCAGATGCCCCCTCTTCTCCCAACATCCACCCTCTAGGGGGCGCTGAAGAACTTTCTCCTCACTGCCCGTAGCCGCTCACACCACCCCCTGATGGCAGTTGGGTCCTGCCTAGGATCTGGCATGGGTGGGGCCTTCACTTGAGTCCCAGCACCCTGTCAAGCATGAGAGCGTGGAGCCCATTATCACTTCCACCTGAGAACATGCTCCTGCATGGTCGCCAAGTGCCATTTGCATTGACCATATTATTGTGTATGTGTTTGCAGATTTGGGGAGGAAGGAGACCTTGTTTTAGGCTTTGCCATTTGCAGAATCCCCTGAACCAAACACCTCCTCCTACTTAATTAAATCAAAGAAAAGGTGTTTTGTATCATTTCAGTGATAAGATGTAAGCAACACTGACTTCATTACAAGAGCATATGAAAACCTCTGTCCCTGTGAATGTGTAACATTGACTGATTATTTTCGCCAGGCAGTTCATGCGCCAATTCAGCCAGACAAATCTGGTCAAAAGCAGAATTGTGTATTCACACACCAGCTTTCAGAACTTGATAACCCCAGCTTATAAGGTATTTTTAAAAGCAACTTTATTCAAAGAAATAATAAATAAGTTTTTTGTGACTATAATGATAAAAATAATGTCTGCAAGTCAGAGGGAACATGACAAGGCCCCAAAAGATATAAGCAGGCAATGCTGAGTGGTGTGACTGCCTCTCCTTTGTGACTTTCCACCAAGAACCTCAGTAGCTTTAGCACGCCTTCTGGGACCTCACCTTATAAAACTTTGTATGCTGTAGCATCTGGCACAGTGCTAGAACCATTGTTTTCCCCTAACTCAGGTCTGTTGGAGCCCTCTGAAAGAGGGAAAATGGAACAGAAGGATGTTAAATACTCAAGTGGGAAATAAATAAGATGTTTCTGAGGGACGCTGAAGAGGTAGGGGCTGTCCAGAGCAGAGGAATTCCATGGTGGAGTCATGGGAGGTGAGAGCCAAAGGGCACAGTCATGGGTCTTGTGTCAAGTAGCAGACTGCGGGAGAGTGGCCTTGGGGCAGCAGGGAGCTATAGGAGGTCAGTGCCTGGGGCAGATAAGATGAGATCAGAGTGTTGGAAAGATGAATGTCCACAAGATACTAAACTGGTAAAGACCAAAAACCTGAAAAGTGATGGGAGGAGAATGTGTCCCTGGCATACAACAAACTGGAGGGCTAAGAGTCTTAGAAACAGCAGCCTTGATTAAAAGGCATCACTACAGCTAGATTTTAGACCGATTATGATGGAGATAAAGGAATAGTTGCGGAAGAAAAGCTCCTTCATTAACTCCAACATGGACTGATGTTGCTTAGAGGAAAAACTACTGCAGTGTGTATTGAGCTCTGGAAGGTTTTCTTCATGTTGTTCCATATGTATCTGTGTGTGTGTGCACAGAGTTTATCATCCTGTGGATAGAATCAAGGGAGTTCACATCAGGCATGTCGGGTGGGGAGCAAGACAAGTGGCCGACTAGAGAACTGCCAGTAGGTACCTGCTTTTTGATGACCCAGTACCCAGGTAGTAGTATTCTGATGCCTTCTGCAAGGCTGTGGTACTTTGACACAGCCGGCATTGCATTCAGTTCTGCCTGTCAGACATGCAGTAGCTTTGCGGTCAAGATGCACCTGCGCACCAAGTTGAGGGGTCCATAGTCCATCAGGAAAAACTGGAGACATGAATTGATCTGTAAAGTCATAGGAGTAAAGCAGATTAAACTGTGCCTATTCCCTCAATTCCAGAATACTAGAATTAGGGAAAGCTTCCTGAAACTTGGAAAAAGAGAAATACAGGCAAGGCCCCTAAATGCCAGTAGTTAATAGCATCACCCAAAGAGGTGACAGATGGAAATAAAGATTTGCCAGTGTTGATCTAGAATGGATTATCAGGATGTGTTTAGAGTTCGTCTTTGACCTTTAAAGGCCAACAATCAGGAAGGCGTAGCACAGGAGCTGAGGAGAATTCTTGGAGTCAGCTCCATCAGAAAGTGTGTTTTGGTCTCCATTGCACGCCTTGCTGGGAACGGAGAAAAGTCCTCTGTCTATGTCATGATCACAACCAAGCCCAAATTCTCCTGGTGTCTCATTTGTCCTCTGTGTCTTCAGAACATTGTGTACAAAACTATTTTGCTGTAATTGAAGAAAATCTCAATGTACTTACATTACAGCTAGGTAATTTATATGTAGATAATGTAACTGTTAAAACTCAGACTGACTTGAACCTGAGTTCTATTTATTGGTTTCGTTTGTATTTCCAGACTTTTTTTTCTTTGTAGCCTGATGCATTTGATTTGAATTCAATCCTTGGAGAAATGTATTCTTTCCTTATTTTAGAGACAGTATTTTTATAGTTAGCACTGTTTGGCAGCACCCCAGGTAACAGGGTTTGCTCTCCCTGTTGAGGCCTGTTTGAGGCCTTCCCTTCTCTGGCCTCAAACTCTGCAGCATCTCCCCAGAGGCTCCTACAGATCCAAATCCTTCCCCCACTCTGTGCTCAGTACCCCATAAATATCACGTCCTTCCCTTTTCTAAATGGAAGTTTCTCGGGAAGGTCAGTCCTTTTCTTCCCTCACTCTGGTCCTTCTTTTGTTTTTTGAGTTTGGAGATTAAGAAAATGAATTAGAGCAATGTCTGTATATATGTATACAATAAACAGTTGGACATTTTGAGCCTGGCTATTTCAGAAAATAAATGGTAACATCAATGGGTGTTAGGGAGTTATATAAGAGAACTGGATTTGGTGACAGGAGAGAAGGAGATTGTGTAATTAGCTTGTAATAAAACTTGAAGG